GATGGCTCAGTGGTTAAATGCACTTGCTGCTCTTCCAAAGGACCTGAGTTCAGTTCCCAGGACCCACATGGGGCAGTTCATGACTGAATTTAACTCCAGCTCCAGGAAATCTGATGGCCACTTCTGGCCTCCATGGGTACCTAACCATCTCATGTGGGCACACACCCAAGCACATATACATGAATAAAATATGAAATACTTTTTATAAAAACCATGTCAGATGTGGAATGGATAAAGGTGAAAATTCTGTAGCTAAGTGCTAGTATGTGATGTGTTAGAATTTCTGAGGTGTGGTATATTGTTCTGATGGCAAGTGCCTAACAGAAAGGTGTAGAGGGCACATCCTTCCTGACCCAGGATGTAGCAGTTGCTTTCTACAATAACCCAAAAACCCTAATGTAGCACTGTGGAAAGTGGTGCCTAAGGGTAGTGTCCCAGATGAATTCGTGCTGAGCAGGAAAGGGCTCGTGGGATAACTATTTCCTCCTACGAGGACATAGTGTCTGTCCCCTCCAGGTGTCAGCTCACTCATCTTGGAGTTCCCAGCCTCCAGAATTCAGAAAATCAATTTCTACACCTTTATGAATTCCCTGGTCTCAGATACCATAGCAACATAAAGCAGACCGAAAGAACAGGTTCAGGGTAACACAGCAGCCTCGGTTCTCGTGAAGCTGGGATTCGGCGAAAGAATGAGAAATAAGGAATAAGTGGACAGACGTTTCAAAGAGCAGAAAGTATCATCAAAACCAAAATGAGAGGTAATCATACTGTGTATCGGGGTGAAAAGGAAGCACACTGGAGAATGGAGGCAGGTCTGCCTTCTCCTAGGAGACATCTATTCCAATCTGAATACTGAGGGAGAATCTTCCTCTGTGACTCCACACTGAGAATGAGAGATGTGCAAGGACTCAAAAGACACTGAATGGCAGGTGTGCTGCAAAGAGAGCAGTACTGACCCCAGCCGGCCCTGCAAGCCAGCCAATCCCAGAGCACACAGCACCTCCAGGAGGGGCAGGGCAACAGGAGGCAAGAGCGTCATTAGCACAGCAATCGTCCTTTTAAACCATCAACTCAAACGATGGCATATGATGTGATTGTCACACAACAGAGAACACCAGGATGAAAATCCAGGAGCCAAAAGATATCACACAGCAGAGAAGCCCAGGCCTGGCTGGGTACTGGGAGCCTGGTGCCAACATGCCTTTCTGTAAATGGCAAGGGAGATGAGCTGTGATTGTTTTTACTTGTTATTTTATTTTTTTGGTTTTTCATTCAGCAGCCATTTTGGAAAGCTGAATCCCAGCCTCCCCAAGGCGCTTGGAGGTGGGAAGCAGTATCTCGGTGCTTTCCAGAGCAGGTATACTAAAGACCTGTGCACTCCTCAAGTTCCCGTCCCTTCAGACTCCCTGTGCACAGTCCTTCCTTCTCCACTGCCTACTGGGCCCCTGCACAGGCCCAGGTTTGCTGCCAGGTGTTACCAACCAATGAGAACCACAGGCATGGTACCCTCATGGAGCTTCTGACCCCCATCGCCTCCGAGTGATGCGTCTGGAGAAAGCACTTTGCATGTCGCCGGGGACAGCGCTGATGCCGTGGGATGACGGAGGACATGACAGCAGCTGTCAAGTCTTTGTCCATGGATGGGTCCCCACTGCCTCAGAGACGAAATGGTGATAACTGAGTCCAAGCCTGTCCCAGCCTGATTTCCCCTCCTCATAGCTTCATGAGCACACAGCATTTAACTCCGTGCACATATAACAATCCCTTCATTTTCATATCCAAAGGCCCTTGGATATTCTGTCTCCATCTGAAACACTCTCCCTTTTTGTCTGCTTGTGAACAACCGCTATTTAGGCCTTAAAAGTTGAAATTGAGCCTCTGTAACCATCCCCAAAGGTAGTGTTCACCCTCCTTTCCACTGCCTGGCAGCACTCCCTACACAACGTTCACTCAGTAGGAGTGAAGACATCCTATGCGCAGGCTTTTTATGACCTAATCATCATATTCAAATTCCTGCTCACCAGAAATTCAAATTCAGCGGCTCATAATGGTTAAGCTCTCAGGCTTTGAATCAAATAAACTCAGGTTAAGCCCCACCCTACTGCTCACCAGCTTCGTGATTTCAATTTCCTTTGTAAAATGGGGAAGGATAAGCAGGATTGACTAGCTAAGACATAGCATGCAAAATTCTTACCATAGTGTGTCATATCTGGACAGTGCTCAACAAGTTGTAACTAGTATTCAAGTCTCATTTTCTCCTGATTTGGGTGTCTGTCCGTTTATGCTGCCCCACCTCTATCCTGGGTGAAAACCGTTCTCGAGCTACAATCTACTGCTTAGCCTGTGTATGGTGGTATTTTATTTGTACTGAAATGTGATTTTATTTGTATGTTAATAAATAAAGTTGCTTGTGGGTCAGAGCTAATAGCAAGCCATAGCAGAGCTGGGCATTCGTGGCATATGCCTTTAATCCCAGCACTTGGTAGAAGAGCTAGGTAGATCTCTGTGTGGTCAAGGATACAGCCAGCATTGGAGACACATGCCTTTAATCTCAATACCATAGAAGACCTGGAGGGCTGTACATACAGGCAGTGACGAGGCAGTCATGTGTTTGGGTTTACAACCAATGAGAAGGCAGAACAGAAAGACTATATAAAGACAAACACACAGGAAGTAGGTCTCTTTCGGAGAGGTAGGACCACCGCAGGAGAAAGGGTAAGGTTTTAGCTCTGAGCTCTGACCTCTTGGCTTTCTTCCTTACATTGGTTCTGTGTTTCTTATTTAATAAGACGGTTGGTTACATCTACATCTTCCAGTGATGTGAATTCTTAGATGCAAAAAGTTGTTCCTTACCTCCAGATCCCAGCATGCATCATGGCACCAGGAACAGTATCACCATTTACAAACTATCTGACTTTGGTCAAGTTAGTCTGCTTCTGATGCCCTCGATGGTTTGGGGTATAAGACGGACAGAATAACGTCCACTGGATACAGTTGTCATGTACATCAAGTGAGAGTGATGGTGTGTATTGCCCTGAGTGGTAAGAAGGAAAGTGTTTTTTCTGACTTTCTGCCTGGGGTGGGAAAGGGCTACTGCTCAGGCCTGTGACTCCACCCACAGCCACTTATGGACGATTTCCCTGCTGTGACTGACTGTGTCTCTCAAGGCTGATGTACTAGAAACAGAAGTCTCTTTTGGGAGGCATTAGTTCACAGTGGCTCTGTCCTCATAAATGGATAAATGACAATTGTAACAGAGCTTGAAGTGAGAAGTTTCTCTTCCCCCTCTCTCCCCTTCCTCTCCCCTCTCCCTGTTCCTCTCTCACTCCTAACATAACGAAAAGACCCTTGCCAACTCCTCTGCTTAGGATTCACTTGAACAATGAGCCAGTACATTTCTGTTCATGATAAATTGTCCAGTCTGTGGCATATCTCATTAAAGCATGACAAAATGGCCTAAGGCTCTCTCCCAGCGCGTCTTTCCTTTTAAGGATGTCTATGTACCCTCTTTTCAATCCCTCTCTGGTGACTTCTGGCCCAGAGGTGATTTCACAGTCACCCACACAGCAAGAAAAAGGGGGCTGTGATGTGCAGACTAAGATAAATTCGGCTCAGAATGCTGACAGTACAGTAGGCACGTGTGTCATCTAAAGAGCTGGAGGTAGGGAGGAGACCAAGCCTGGTGGCACGTGCCTGCGATCCCTGCACTTAGGAGGTGGAGGCAGGAGGAGAGGCCAGCTGTGCTACAGGAGACCCTATCCCCAACTAAGAGCACATGGGAAGATTATGTAGGCTGTATGCAAATGTGATGCCATTTTATGTAAGAAATCTAAGCATCTTCAGAGTTTTGTATCAAGTTCCTGGGACCAATCTGCCACACATAACAAGGGATGGCTGTGAAATTACTTCAGAGAAGTAACTACTAAATAATTGAAATTTGACCCTCGGTTCAGCAAAGGAAAATTGTGAAGAAATGCTCCAGAGTAAATGGGGAAAGCATTAAATCAGGATGCACAACCTTTCGATATTGTGATATGATGCTGTTGTCTACAAATATGTTGGATGCACTTGCATTAAATACGTGGTCAGAGATAGCGTCTTTGAGGGAGTGGCATTAGAACATTGGAGCTAAAATCCAAATGACTAGAAGGATTCAGCCCTGTGAGTCAAGACGATGAGTGAGGCAAGCAAAGAAAATAGCAACTTATATGTTTTAAGCAGCTCAAGGTGGAAATTGAGGTCATTGTAAGGGGAGTTGGTGACTCAGGGAAGTGTTGGCGATAAGGCTGCCAAGTGGGGCCTTGCAGGCAGCGATGAAAACCTAGACTTCAAATGAGCAGTCACACGGAGAAAGGGGAGTTCCTTTGAGCTTTGCTTCACATTTGTCCTGGATCTAGCAGTTACAATTGAACAACTATTGTGTGCTAGGTGGTGGAGATCCGGAGAAGAATATGGATCCAGCTTTTACAAGACTGGTCGCTTTGGGGTGGAGATAAACTATTATAATACGGTGTGATCAAGCATCCAGCAGAGGGACTTACAGGCAGACCCTACAGCACAGGAGACTTCACTGACAGTGAGGACACTTTACCTTGTGGATTAAACCTAAGTAAGGTTGCGGTCAAAAGGTAAAAGACACAGGTGTAAAGGCCCTGGGGTGAGTCTGCTAAGAACGAGTAGTCCTCTGTCCCGGTGACAACCAGGTAGGAGCTTCTTCTACCTTTTGCTGATGAATGACCTTAAATATCCTATTTTCTGAAAGATGTCCCTGAGGGACGGTTAATGACATACCCGAATGAGATGTCAGAGACAGAGCTGAGGGGAGTCTGCAACTGAACAGGTAAGTGTAAGCATATGCTGTAGTTGCTGGTCACAGAAAGGGAGAGAGGTAGAAAGAGATTTCCATGACGGGATATCCTAGCAACACCCCCCTCCCTCACGCGTCCCCAAACTTCAAGACAGAGCTGTGAGTCTAGGGAACTCCCTTGTCTCCCTTTTGCTTCCCAGCCGGTTTCTTCTGCCACTCGCTGTTGTCCCAGCAGCCAGCCCCCGCCTCCCTTCTCAGGAAGCTCGGGTCTCCCTGGGAGCCCGGCTGCCCTTGGGGGAGGCCTCTGAGCTGTGTGCCCTGCAGCTCCGCCAGCTTTCGGGGCGACGGAAGAGGGGCTCTGCGCCCCCCGCGTGGCGCGCGCTGAGCTCGGCAGGAGGGAGCGTCTCGGCGGAGGAGTGAGGAGGACGGGAGGGAGAGGCGCGCCAGAGCCTCGGTCCCGGGCGCCCTGGTCGGCCCACCGCGGAGGAACTGCTGCCTCCAACAGGTTCGTAGACCGCGCTCGCTCCGTGTCGCCAGCCGAGCGGTCGGGGAGACCCTGGCGGCGGGCGGGCGCTGCCCGGAGCCCCGCACGCCCGCGCTCCG